CCACATAATCACAGCCTATATCCAAGGTATGTAAACACAGTTTTAACAGGTTGAATGCCTCAGAATTACTGTTGGTAGTTATTTGATGGACTAAGAACGTGGAGAAACGGAACAACTCAGCAGGTAAGCCACTAAATTGCAGGAATGTTAACAGAGCTGTGTCAGCTGGAAGGTCCCTACAAGGGCAGGAAGGAGAGAGAACTTTGTGTGTGCAAGGTGCATTTGTCCAGAGAAACGCTACAGTCATTATGCATTCAGAAATACACAGAGGAGAAAATTCTGAATGAAATCTGATACTTCATTTTCTTTTGTAATTGAAACTAGGCTCCAATTAGGTAAGGGCTTTCATAGCCTAGACGAAGGGAGGGAGGGGAGAAGCTATCAAGGATTTGAAAGGAAATACTTACAGAATTGGCTGCATTTCTTGGCATAAGAAAAGGGTCATCCTGGAACATATAATGAGCAGCAGTAGGATCCTGTAGAAAGCAGAACCCAGGATTGAAACATTTATAGTTATGTACACAGGTATGCTGTAGGCATATCACACCGCCTCATGGAATTTAAGGCACAATGAACACTTCCATCATAACCGCCACCCGATGCCCATTTTACAAGAGTTCCTCTTGTTCAAAAGGGTTTAGCCTGTTTGGAAACAGTTTAAAAAGCATTTCCATTATACACACACATGCAGGCTAACATAGTGACAACAAAAGGGTCCTTACTATAACCTGGCAAGCAATAAGTGCCCTGCAAAGCAAGTAGGACCCCAACCATAACAGTCTCAGGGGAGCTGGGGGGACTTGCAGGATCAGATTCAATTTCCAGAACTCAAGACAGACAGGATTAAAGAATGGCATCACAGCATTTACAGTTGTTGCCTAGCAAGAGTAGACACTCATTGTTCTTTGCAAGACTTGCTTTCTGGACTGAGATTGGGAAGAGGCAGTCTGGATTGGGAAGATGAATTGGTAAAGGAACGTGCTCCTGGTGTCCGCAAAAGCCTTATCAAAGTATTAGAGCTTTTGCTGATAGTTGCAGCTCTCTCTTAGCACTAGAATAAGGCTTTAGGAACACAGCAAAACATGTTAAGCAAAAGTGAAAACCCCATAAAAAAACGATGTAAAAGTCCCATCTTTCATTTATGGCCAAAGTAGAAATAAGAATCTCCAGAGTGCAAGGCTATTGCATGAGATGGACAACTTGACCTATTTCCGTGATCACCAGAATTACTTACCCTGTTCACAGTAGAAGCCAATGTTTGAAGAACTGCCAGCTTATCCCTAAACATAAAGGAGTTTTCATTAATACTCGGTTGCAGACTTTGAATGTATGCATTGCATTGTATGGAGAACAAGCACAGGATTATTCTGGCCCGTAAGGATTTTCAGTTCTAGGAAATAAATGTTTTTTGCTGCACTTAGGAAATATCACTTTTTGCAAAGGGAGGGAAATTTAACTGCAAAAATGGTCACAGTTCTGGAACAACCACAGGAAAAAGAAAAGACTTTGAGGAAGACCAGAAAACCATGTGTATTTCCTGCTACCAATCCTGCCTTATTATACATTATCAAAGAAAGTACATAGGGAAGGGACACAGGAAGAATTCCCTAGAATGCTCCTCTCAGAGCCCCCCCAACTCTGAGGGATGGATACACGAATTCCTCTCTAAGACAAGTCTTGGGAGGAAAAAAAATACCGAAACAAAACCAGATTTCTCAGGACTCCTGTGCCTGTGGATCCTTAAGACTTTGGTTGTGTTTCAAGCAAACAAGGAAAGGCCAGTGAAAGTGTTTAGGTGAAGGTGGTCTTATTTTATGTTTACATACAGACAGCATTTGACTATAAACTTAGTTTTTGCTGTCATGCAAATTCATCTTAAGTGCTTCCAACAAAACAGCTTTTGTTCAGCTGCATTATATCTAAACAGGATTTATTCAACCAGCTATCAATGGTCAAGTTTATTTTGCTTAAAGAAGCACACCCACATGCAGAGAGCCAAATGAACTTCATTTTACAGACTTCTCACTAATGTGATCTTTTACAAAGAAACAGAACTATGCTTAAAAATGCAGTCCTTATAGCTGTTTTTAAAATAAAGGTCAGGAATGAATATTAAAGAATATTCCCAGAGCTCCCAGTCAGCAGGAAAGCCACTAGTGGCACTTTAAATCCAGAAATACAGCAACCTGAATTTTCTTTTTCAACTTTGGTGGACAGACTACATTTAGCTGTCTAACAATGATTTTCTTCCAGGTCGAGAGATATTTCAGTAGTAAACACTCACCAGGTTTTCTTTCGGGGGAGCAGAATTTCTTCTTGAGTAACTGTGAAAAACAACATTAAAATAGTTATTAGAAACAAACAGATGCCCAAAGAAAATCTTGACCTCATGAAAATTCATGATTTAAGCTGATCCAGCTGAAAGTATTAAAGCAAAGATTTTAAAACCACAGTCTGATGTAGGCCACAATTTACCGGAATGGTAATAGACAAGGCTGCCAGGGAGCTTAAGTGTCTTGTGTCAAGACAGGATCAGGGCCCTATGGTCAACAAACCTCAGAAAGACTGTACCCAATGTACCCTCAAAGAGATTACCCATCCAAGCTTCTTCAATCATCCTTATCCTGTATCTTCTCGCTTGAGCCCCAACCTTTACCAGTCCCTTGGTTTCCCACTTTTAGTCCCCCAGTTTCAAGTTTGCTGTCTCTGCACATTTGGCTTCTCCAGTTCAGCCTGCCTGAATACTGCAGCACAGTGCCCTCTCAAGTTCCTGCTCTGATGGCCTGACACCAACTGTTCAGTTCCTTCCGCCCCACAGATTAATCTGCCCAGCTTTCCAGAGAGCAAAAAAAAGACAAGACAATACCAAAAGAAGAAGCTATAGGTCGTCAGTAAAGCATCTTAGCAAATTCATTCACAGAGGAGCACGTGGGACCTCCTGATTACAACCTCCAGAGCCAGGGTCTGCAGAGGCGCTTTCCCACTGCTTCTGTGTTGATACTTCCATGAGCTGTTACTGACTGGCAGGAACTTGTTCCAATGTGCAGCACAGCTACAAGCATCCCAGTTTACTTTTCTCACAAAACTCATCACAGAAATATGGTAAGGAGTACAAAGAAGCACGAATGTGAAGGAAACTGTCACCATCAAGGTGGAAAGCTCCTTATTTTTATAGTTTATTCCATTTCAAAGAGCAACTGGACAGCTCATGGAACTGGACAACTCAGTTCATGCTCTTGGAGCACAGAGCTGGTTGGTGGTGAGGGTAATCAAGTTAAGCCCAAAAATCTCTGCACAGTGAACACGGGGCAAAAGAAAATCCAAGAAGGGGAAAGAGGGCGTTCATGTTGTCTTTATCTTCTGACACACTATGTTGTTTGGAGATTAAAGAAACATATGCAAGAAACTAGTAATTAAGACATCATACCTTCTGAATTGTCCACAGTCTTCCCAAGAGCTGTACTACTAGAAGAGCACCTATAAACCAATCAGAGTTTTGCATTTATGGTAGTCACATCAATATAGCAAAAGCAGATTAATGAAAGTTTGTAATACAGGTCAGAATTAATTAAAACATTAGAGGTGAAAAGTAACTGGAAATGTTGCACTGTTACTAACTCCAAATTATTATCTTAAAACTTATATTTGATGTTTCTCTTAAAGTGCTAATTTCAAGAGACAAGAAGTTATACACAGAAAATCGTATTACATAAAATTTGTAATTCTTTATTTTTGGGGATGTGATGGCTTTAAAGTAGTTTTCACAAATCACTGCATCCTAGAAAGAAAATTCTGCACACAAATCAGAAAAGACACTTTTGTGTTTTAGAGGCAGGATCTAGCTGAAAGCAGTACCTTTTTCTAAAATATTTTAGACCTGAGTAGTGTTTACACAAGCAGAAGACCTGAGCTGGGATGCAGGGAAATTAGCCCTGCTTAGTTCCAGATGCCCAGTCTCTACAGAGCTGCAGACAGGACATTCACATAACCACAGTGGTAGAAGGCACATCCACATAAACTTGTTTCTGCTGTGTATCGCAAAGCAGCTGCTCTGTGCTCAGTCCAGAGTCACAGGACACTGCTCCAGGTCTTTCTTACAATTGTTCACATTTTATTGCTTTTAACACAAATTGAAGATTACATTAAATTACTTTTTTTTTTCCTCATGAAGCAATCGAACACCGAAGTCTTATTGTAACTGTGGCATTCACACGTGCTTCCGCGCTGACCTTGACCCCGAGGGAGATGCTGTTCACATACATTCACACCCCCGTGCTTTACAATGATATTGCATAGTTGTAGCTGTTCCTATATGCCACACAAATTTATTAGCTATGATTTTACCATCCCTGATGTGAGTTATATTTTGCCTATAAAGAATACCCAGAGCAGCGAGATCTTTTCACTTGAGGCAAACCCTGAAGACAACCTCCCCCCTTCACCTGCTTTCTCGTGAGACTCCGCTCTAGGAATCACTTAACAGCTCCACCTCACTCCCGGGGCCGCTCCGAGCCGCAAACCCCACCAGAAATCGGGGAAAAACCCCAGGAAGAGCCGCTCCCCCTCCGCGGACCACGCCATGCCGCCGCGGCCCTGCCCGCCTCAGCCCGCCCGAGACACCAGCGCGCATGCGCAGAGCGGGCCCTTTCCTGCGCAGCCCCTACTGCGCCTGCGCGGCCTCTCGCACCTCAACTCCCCACACACGCACCCCCCCCAACCTCCCTTGATTCCTTCACGCCGCTACCGCCGCCGGGCCCTTCTCTTCCCTCTGCTGCGGGAACGGCAGAGCCTTACCGGTAGTTTTCTCGCCTCCCTCCCAGGAAGCAGCACCGCCTGCTCAGCGATACCACTTGCTGCCAGGAGCTGCCCCCCAGCCGCCGCGCCGCCATGCCGGCACCCGCGCACCGCCCTCCCGGAAGGAGGACGGTACCACTTCCGCGGGGTGGGTAGGGGGGCCTGCCCCTCCGCGGCAGTGGTACCGCCCGGGACCGCGTGGTGCTTCCCGCGGCGCAGCAGCTTCGGCTGCAGAGAGTGGTCGAAGTGTCGGTCGGGGCAGACTCGCTTGTTCACCATGAGGCCGCCGAAGGTGGTGCCGTGGCGGCGGCTGGTTGGGGTCTCCTTCGGGATGTACACGGCCGAGGAGATCAGGTGAGGATGCATGGCAGGCGGTGGGTTCGCCTCCCTTGGGGCTGCTATTGAGGACTACAACTCCCGGCGTGCCTTGCGCCAGAATGCCGGCAGGCCTCGGCGGGCTGTAGGCGCGCCGCCTGCTGGGAAATGTAGTCCGGCTGCGCCGTGGCCCTCACCAGCTGCTGCGATGGCGGCAACTGAGTGCCCTCCGGTCATTGAGCCTTGGGGGGGGCTGCTGGACTCTCTGTGAGGCTCTCAGACCCATTGCGTGGCCTGGGGCCGCTGGAGGTCTTGGAGGAGATTGGGGAAGGGCTGTGGGAGCCGGGGCTGATTCCTTGTGTGCGACTGAGGGAGGCTGGGGGAAAGGGTCTGTGAGGAGGCCGGGGGGTCCTCTCAGGAGAGCCCCTCGCTGGCAATGGAGTCGGGGGGAGCATGGCCGTGTCCTGCCAGGGGCAGAGGCACAGGGTGCGGCATAAACTCACGTTGTGAGGGCGAAGGTTGCCCCTCTCTTGAGGGGCCTCCCCTGAGGGGGGGGGTGTTGGCTTCCCCCCACCCCCTGCACCTCAGCGCCAGCAGAGCCTGTCAGAGCCTGGAGGAGCCCTGTGCTGGTAAGGTTGGGCATGTTCCTTGGTGGACAGAATCCTGGAAACGCGGCCTGGGATCTGATCCTGAGTGCGGCACAGAAGAGACTTTTCTGGTTTCAGTGCGGGGAAAACGTTCAGATATTTTATCACCAGTGTATCTTTGTTGCAGAGGGTTTTGTGTGGCTTTTTCCAGGAGGTAGAACGTCTCCTGGAGTTCTAGAGAGCTGTCAGCATTTCTTTAGCGTTGGTGTGACGTTAGCACTGTGTGTAGTCAAGGACATGCAGCTGTCATTGTCTAGGTGTTTGTGTTGGTTTTATACCTCTCCCACTGCTTGAGAGGACACACAGACAAAAGTACTTGACTTCTTAATAGAATGGCTAAAGATGTAAGAAATATTTTCTGTGATATGAATGATTGCACGCAGACAATGAAATCAATGATACAGAAATTCCCATTGCATGCGCAGAGTACCTTCAAAAAGATGTTTTAATCAATAAAAAACAATCGTACAGATACTAAATGTCAGTGCTAGTTGTACCATTCAAGTGCATATCATGTGGCTGTTTGCTGCCACTGATTTTTGTTCTTTTCTTTCAACTTCAGGAAACTGAGTGTAAAACCCATAACAAATCCTCAGTATTTGGATAATACAGGGAATCCAGCCATTAATGGACTGTACGACTTGGCTTTGGGACCTCCAGACTCCAAAGAAGTGTGTGCAACTTGCATACAGAACTTCAGCAACTGCCCTGGTCATTTTGGCCATATAGAACTGCCTCTGACTGTCTACAACCCTCTGTTTTTTGATGTATGTATGCTTAATTATTGTCTTGCTGGTGAAATGGGTGATGGTGTTCAAGCTGTCACACGGTTTGTAGCCTTTGAAAAGAGAAAAGGTGCCGACATCTGTTTTCTCTCTAAGTTTAAGTGTAATAACAGCAAGTGTAGTAGAAAAAGTTTGTTGTGTCATGATAGTTCAATACAGATAGACTCAGACTTCTACAGAATACACATCTTGTTGTAACTAATACTTTACTCGATACTGACAAAGAAGAGAGGGGGAACGTTGATCACTGAATTGTATAACTGACTGTAGGGTCTCATGCCTTAATTAAATGGATGGCACAGTAAAAATTATTAGTTATTGCCTTTAAACAACTAGTATAAACTTACATGAACAGCTACCTACTTTTGCCTGAGGATCTCCAAGTGCTTCCTGGAGTTTCAGGCCTTGGGTTTTGCTCCGAAAAGCTGTGTTGTTCATTCTGCCTAGTAGGCCCTCTTATTCCAGAATAATTTATTCTAGAAACCTGGATCAATGTGGATAGAACCCAACAACCTATCTAGTAAGATGCTGAGTGACATCACATATGTGCCAAATATATGGAAGAATATAGTGTTGCAAGTTTGCTGGCAGCAGAGCATTGAAAAATGCTAAGCTATATAGAAATCCATCAGTCTTTTTAATAAAAAAAAAAAAAAAAAAAAAAGCCTGTCGAGAAGATTTCCTGCCTCTGGAAGTCAGACACATGTGCTTCTCATAGCTTTACAACTATTGCATTTATGTGATATGTAGGATACCTAATGTAGAGCAGAGATTTGACTTAGTGTGCATCTGTCAGGGCAGGTGTTGCAAGCTTGTTTTGAAAGCTGCTGGTGATGGTAAAACTGCACATTTCTCCAAAGTGCTTCACGTGGGTGTTTTTTCAAAGGGTCATCTTTTAAATATAGAAGGATTCCTGCCTGGAAGGGTAGGATTTGCCTTATTTTGGTCTTCTGAAAGTTAGATGCGTAATCTGATGTACTTTTTAGCTTGTTCTGGAGTCTGAGGAGTTGGGCTATTTGCAGAGGAAGATTCATCTAGCCTATAACAGGAACCTGAGCTGGGATGAATTTCCCTCCTGAGGTGCCGATCTCCCCATTTACAGTAGCTGGTTCCTGCATAGGCTATTAATTGAGACTAAAAACCTCACTTTCAGATGACTGAAGTTAGATGAGGTCCGTCCCACTTCTAGTCTTGTCCTAGCTTTGAAGTAAAATACTTGTATTTGACCAAGGAATACAATCATGCAGCAGTAATTCCTAGCCTTCAGGCCACTCATGCTGTGTGCAGCTAAAGCAAATTGTGTGCAGAGATACACTGAATAATAAAAACCACTGATATTTTCCCGAAGTTTGAGAAGAATGTGGTTGGATGAAGAATCTTGAGGGACACTGATAGTACTTGTGACCAGAACTTTTCATTTTACTAGTGTGGAGTTTTGGGTACCATATTGTCTGTCATGGGAGAAGCCGTTAGAAGCTGTAATCACAGTGCTACGTAAGAGCAGCCTTGGTCCCAGAGTTGCTGTAGATATGACAAGCTTTTCCTGTATCTGTTATGTAGACAGCCTGCAGATAGTTTGTCTACAGATCATGCTTTGCATATGAGTTTGTGTGGTTGAAAGAAATTTTTTCAGTCCTATTCTTTATGATTAAATTTAACGATTAGTCTAATTTCCCAATTATAGTAGCACTTTTAAGTTCAAACAAATCTATCTACTTGCTTACTGTGCAAGCTAGTAAATCTGCCAGGATAACTTTTTTTCGCCTTATTTTTTCCAGAAATTATACCTTCTAATTCGGGGTTCTTGTTTAAATTGTCACACGCTGACATGTGCTCGAGCTGTGGTTCACTTACTGTTAAGTCAGCTGAAGGTTCTGGAGAGAGGGTTGCTACATGCTGTCCATGATCTTGAAGTCATTCTGAACAGGGCAAGTACTGTGTATTTCTCCAGTCCTTTTTGAGTTGATAGTCCTGCAACTATAGAGCTGTCCCAATTTCTTTTATTCTGTCTCTTAGTTTTTAGAGCAATGTGCAGATGCAACAGGCTCAGAAATTGAAGAAGAGTTAAATCACCATGTTCAGGAAATATTAGGAAGTTATCAAGTAAGAGATCAGTGTTCAAATGTAAGTACAATCAGTGCTTCTCCTGGGATCTCAGGTTTTGTCCTCTTAAAATAGCAATGTGCAGAAGAAAGACTGTCTTTGACTATGTAGACTCTAGATTTTGTTCTGGAGTTCTGAACTCTTTTATATTTAGAGGGCTTTCTGGGTGAAATGTCTGAAATTAAGCTTAAAAAGGTTTTATTTCCTATCAGTATAACTATTAGGTTTCTGGAAAATACACTTCGTGTAGGGGAACATTTTGATGGTGTAAATGTCATATAAAAATAATCTGATACTGCTGTCAGTACATTACCTACAGGTGTTGATACTTCTCTGTATGATGCTCCAGCTGTTTTGAGCTGCAGAACATTTTTGAGAACTCGTGCATACAGCAAATTTGCAGATTTACTTACAGTGAAATTTTTAGAGAGTTATGTAATTGAATTCTTATTTCCATTTAAATGCAGTTTAATGTACTTTGTTAGCTAAAGGAAAATATTAGTGAAGAAGATATTTAAAGGTCTAACATCTTAGAGCAGATTTGTTTATAAGCCAAGTTTAATTCCTTAATCACTTGTTTCAAAACTAACCTTGAGCACTTTGTAAATCATACATTCATGAGCAGTCAAAAAAAGGTGATTTTTATCAATCTTCTACCTTCTTAAATCATCATTAGAGAAAAGCTTTAAAATTCAGTACTGACTTGAAAAATGAAGACTATTTATGAAATAAATTTAAAAAGGAGGGTGGTGAGCATTGAGGGGGTGTATGTTTCCAGCAAATATGGGAGGATGATGGCAGAACACTAGGGATCAAGGAATGAATTAAATCAATAGAAGGATGTGTGTGCATTGATACTAATAATGTTTGTGTTGATGGTTAAAGTTAATTGTATAGTGTTTAATGAATTCTTCATGTCAAATGTTTTTAATTTATTTTTATGATTTTCATTATATTTAAGTATGTCTTTTTTTTTTTTTTTCCTATTTTTTCTTTATCAGGTCAAAAATGTATGTGAGTGTAGAAATAAACTGATTACACAGTTCTGGAAAGCACATATGAGTTCAAAGAAATGCCCAAACTGCAAGTAAGTTTAACTACATGAGGAAGTAAATAGCTGGTGTAAAGTTAAATTTTGTGAGCATTTGTATTAACTTTTATCTGCCTTTCCCGGTTTTCTTTTTTTGCCTTTAAGATCTAGGAGATCACTGGTGCGAAAGGAGCATAACAGCAAGCTGACAGTAACCTATCCTTCTACAGTGCACCATAAATCAGGGGAGGAAGGCATTCTGGATGAGCCAGCAGGTAAAATTTTTGTCTTCTACTCAAATACGTTTGCACTTATTTTCCTGTATTTAAGGTGCACAGATTCCTAGCAGTGACTATGCACTTGTGACTCATTTATAAAAAATTTAAATAAAACAATAAGCTCAGCAGTAAGGGAGTACCCAACTCCATTAAATTTCTCTATTTGCAAGCCCTCTGTGCTTTTGCAGCTTTGAGTGCCTGTATGTCAGGAAAAGAAGTACAAAAGCACAATCTGTGTCAGCTAATGTGGTTTTGGGAGTTTCATTTTTGGCAGGTAGATGATTTTCTGCTAGATTTTTAAAATAGAGAGACTAGATAAAAAATCAACTAGGGGGAAAATGACTAACCTTACTTCAGAAGGAAAATCAGGTAATCCTAAGTCTTATGGAAGAATTTCCTCTTAAAGAGGAAAGGACAGAAAAGAAAGTAGGTGACACTTTTCAGTCTTAATTAACCCGGTGTTTGGATCACTTTAAACTTACTTTTTGCTCTTGTGGTATCCTTGATCCTTTACACAACCAGGTAGAATCAAAACGGATTTGTGGGTTATTTAACCCTTAGAAAAGATTTATATAGAGAGCTTTTTCCATTTGCTGGTCTGTGGTTTAAATACTAGATTAAATCTCTGGAGTTGTGACTGAAGAAGCACAACATCAGTGATGGGTTTTAAAGCAGAAAGGTCAGATCTCTGCTTTAACATCCTATCCATAACACATTCAACAAAGGCAGGAAAGTTTGCATATCCCAGCGTTACTACTTTTGAGTGACAACTGTGATTTCACTCCATTAAATTGTAGGGTACTACTTTGGGCTTTTTATTTGAGCCCCTTTAGGACTGTTCAAAGTCTGGGAATGTGTTTTGTTGTGCTAGTAAAAAAAGAGTTGATCTGGAAGGTCTAATGAGTTGCCAGATTTAGAATACCTTGCCTTCCCACAAAAAGCTTCAAAACTAGCCGTATTCTCGCAGTCTCTGTTAGCATTCACAGCTAAAGTAGGAGTAAGAAATACATTCCTCCTCTCAGTGTTCAAAGACCAAGGCTGTAACACCACTTGATGACTTTCATTACAGTGAAGTATTACACCTTCTGAAATGGGATGGGCTATACAGTTATGTACATTCTGCCTAGCTTGTCACAGTTGCTCATTGTATTGAATCCTGGAGGGAGTACTTTTAACCTTGGCATTGATGCATTCATGTTTAAGGGATGGAAGGGGTTTTTATGTGAAGGAAGGGGGAATTGAAGTTTCAGTGTGGAAAAATCTGGATTTCTGGACCTTAGCCAAAAGAAGAGTAGGAAACTTTACCTGAGGTCTTGGGAGAACTGCTTTTTTTCAAGTCATGTACTCTGGCTTCCCTGGGACACAAGGGGCTGACCTGCAAGAGAGGTGGGAATTGAGACCTAAAATCTCTGGGGCTTTTTTTGTTTGTTTGTTTTAAAAAATGATCTTTCTGCTTTTCAGTAGCAAAACCACGTGTTTTCCTTCCCTGCTGAAATACAGCTAGCCCAGACTCTAACATATAATATAGATGGATTGCTGACTGTTGCTATTGTCTCATCCAGTTGTGTATTTCATGGGAACTTTGATCTCAGTGGTAATACTTGAATCCCACTTCTGTGTTCTCCAGCTGCAGGTTGACTCTTGATTTGTGTTTTGGTCAGTGAATGAGATCATTTGAAGAAGGGGTCCAGCTCACCATTAATCAAATAAAGCATACACTTTATGTTAAAGTTGAGTTTTGTTTCAATTACTTATATTGATATCCATTAATCACCAAAATGGCTTATTTTTTCATACTGGGAAGGCTCTTTCTTTAGTTAATTTCATATTCCCAAAGCAAACATTTCAATGATAATTCTAATGTAGATGTTAGCCAGTATTTCCATTCCTTCTCTGAGCTGGAAGAACTTACCATTGTAAGCAAAAAACCCAACTTTCAACATAGTATCTTGTGATTTTTTTTTTTTAAATAATTTTTTAATTATTATTGTTTTTATTTATTTATTTATTTTCCAGCTATTGATGAAAGCCAGTTAGGGAAGAGAGGATACCTGACGCCAATGACTGCCAAGGAATACATCCTGGCTCTGTGGAAGAATGAAGGTAATGGTTGTTAAGAGCAGCATTACTTTGTGTTCTGTATCACTTAGGGGACAAAGGTTGCAACTGTTCCTGTATGAACTCCTTGCCAAATCTTTGCCTTTTGCCTTAAGGGCTTCTGGCTGCAAGATAGATTTTGTGACAGGAGAACTGGTAGCTAGTGAATGCAGAGAGCTGGATTCAATGAATAGTTTGATCAACTATTCTCAAATTGTGGCTCCCCACAAATCACGATTGTTGTTTACAGAGAATTTGATGTTTGTATAGTGCTGCACCTAATATTCCCCACAGTTACATTGGTTAAAGACTGAGAATGTATTTAGTGGTCTCTTCTTTTGAGTTCCCTGTACTCTGAATCTGTCTGCAGTTGCCAGGAAAAAACGAAGCAGTTTCATGTATCAGTCACAGCTAGTAGCTGGAAACTGTTTCTTCCTGCTGTTTTGCTTTTTTCTTTTGCTATACTCTATATTTCTGTTCAGAGTTGTTTCTAAAAAATCATGTATATGACCAAAAAGAACAATGGCAATTCTTTCTAAAGTATGCCTAAATGTTTTTATTTTAAACAAGCTCGCTAGTGTTTAACTTAGCAGATTCTTTCAACTTGATTGCCCAAATGCATCTGGGGGTTTGGATACCCAAACAATAGCAGTGATAATGAGTTTATCTTTTCTATTGTATATTTTTAGGTTTCTTTTTGCGTTATCTCTTCCCTGGGATGGATCCCCATGAGAGTTCGGGATTCAGTCCAGACATGTTTTTTTTAGATCTACTTGTGGTTCCACCTTCAAGGTAAAATTTCCCAAAAAAAACTTTTGTAGAAATCATGGGGTTTAGCACATACTTTTTGCAGGAGTTGGAGATGCAAACACCTATAGTACAGACACTGGTCTGCTGAAGTGTCAGTGGAGTGTTAAAAAAATAATAATAATAAAAATCACAGCAGTAACTCATGATAAGTTTTACTGTAACTTCAAATAAGTCTGTTAAAGGACTAAAATACTAATTATTTAAAAACATATTTTAGTATTAGTATTTTAAATTATTATAGAGTATTATACTCGTATAGTACTGGTAGAATTTTTTGTTAAGGAATCATTCCTCTTTTATGACTGTCCCAGTATAATATGTGAATTTTTAAATGCTTACAGTTAGTTTATAGGGATTATTTTTCATGCTTTGAGGACTTACCTTAGAATGTTTGAAGTTCATCATGCTACTTTCAGTGGCTTTAATATTCTAAAGTAATTTTTATCTGTTCTAGGTATCGTCCCATAAATCGTGTTGGAGACCGACTGTTTACAAATGGTCAGACTGTGAACTTGCAGGCTGTCATGAAAGATGCCAAAATGATACGGAAGCTCTTGGTTCTCATGGCAAAAGAACAATGCCAGCCAATAAAAATCACAGAAGAAGAAACACAAACAGTAAGAATTGCTCATTACTTTATTCTTTGCTTTTTGGATATGTGAGTTGAACTCAGGTGGGCTCCTGTTTAAACTGTTCCAATAACAGTTTTTGCCTGGGCAAAATGGAGTATGTGCCATTGGAGATGTTCTCCATAGCTTTTTTTTTTTTCCCCTCTCATGCCTCTTTCTGCTCACCCACCTGGTGCAAAGGGAAAAACATTTCATGCAGACTCCTTTAGTCATGGTTTTTGTATTAGATTACTGTATATGAGACGTAATGGGCTCCTGTTACTGGAGGAAGCACAAACAGTTCACAATAAAACTTTTCCAGCATCTCATCGAATGAAAAATGATGGAGGGAAAAAAGCCACTTTATCTTCTAAGCCTAGTAGAGTCAATTGTGATCATGGTTGTTTTCGACCATTGATGTCTAAATAGAACCAAAAAATTCACAAATAACATTAATTAGTAACAAAGCTTGTTTGCTACCGACCAGTTCACATGGTCATATAGTGGTAAATAATAATGCATGTCACCATGTCTCTCTTCATATTTGTTCATGAATTGTATTATTGAGGGTTCTTTGATACTGGACTTAGTTTCGGCTGAACTTGATTTACATCTTAAGTGTAAAACATTTTGAAAATATTTTTAGTTACTCAGAATTTAGCCACTAGGTGGAGATATGTTCTTAAAACATTTGACAGAAGGTTAATGCATTTCAGATGTGACTGCTATACTGACTTTTAGACTGTGAGAATAAAGTGATGTAGGTGATAAAAGCTCTTGGATTTACATTATTTTTATCTAAGAATAGGACTTTCTGATAGCACAGTGATTTGTAGCACAGACTGACTAATCAGTAACATCTAATTTGGAAAGAGGACTGTCACTTACCAGGAGATGATTGATTAGCAATCATCTTTTAAAATCCCACTGGTATATGTAGCTGTGGTGTTTGGAGATCTCCTGTCCAAGTCAGTTTCTAAAGCTTGACAGCAGACTTGTCTGAGACACTTGGTTGTAATAATTCAAAAGTTAGCTTTACATTGTTAATGCTTTTTTTTTTTCCCCTAAAAAAAAGTGTCTTCAATGAGGTGCAAAATAGTGGCCAGTGTTTCATTTGCTATTTAATACTATAATTTCAGTCTAGTAAATAAAAGGCATTTTTTGTTAAGTCCACATTTCTAATTTCTGTTTCTGTAGGAGACAGGAGAGAATAATGAACCTCTGGACCATTCTGTCCTGACAATGATTCCAGGACAGACCCTTGCAGATAAGCTATACAACGCTTGGATTCGTCTTCAGAGCCACGTTAACATTGTATTTGATAGTGACATGGACAAACTAATGACAGAAAAATACCCTGGTATTCGTCAGGTGGGTAGCAGGCAGAATCTTAGATACTCTGGACTTTGTGTGTCACAGACAGGTAAAACAAGAGAAGTTGATGGAATAAGAAAAAAGTGAAATATTTGTGATTAGTATGTAGGCATTTTCATGATACTCATCACTGTAATACCTAGTGAATCTGTCTGATGTTGCATGCTTCCACATTTTAATCGTTAACTTAACTTCTGTTTTCAAAGCTATTAGAAAAAAAGGAAGGACTGTTCCGCAAGCACATGATGGGAAAGCGTGTGGATTTTGCTGCTCGATCAGTCATTTGCCCCGATATGTACATTGGTACCAATGAGATTGGCATTCCTATGGTAAGAATAAAGAAAGGAGTGTTTCTTTTTGGTGCAGGTGGGGACTGAACTACACTGTAACACTTTCAGCTACATAGCAAGTACTTTAAAATGTAGAGATTTTCTGACTCATCTGGACTCTTTCCTCCCCAGTGTGTCATAGCTGTATGTTACTACTGTGTGTTAATAAAGAAGGAGCATTGAAGAGCAAGAAATTCATACTGTTATACTGAACACCACATCTGGGAAAGAGGATTTAAAAAAAAAAAAGAAAAAGCTGTACTTGCTTTCTGGGATTATGAATTGGAGCAAATTTTCTAAGTAGATCCTGTTTCTCTTGTGGTCTTTGTACAGTGTATCTTGTACAGCTGTGGCAGCCTTTAAGAAAAGGCCATAATAACTTCACCAACTTCATTCATCCCTAATGATTTTTAAGCACACAGAGACGACACCAGGCCTGAATTTGAGCTTTTCATTATATCATCTTTTCTGCTTGCCAGTCTGCAAATAGTGGACCTGGCGATAATGCACTTTTTCTCTGTATTTGTTGGTTTGTTTGCAGAATCTAAAGTCATGCTTTGTTTTTTTAATAGCTGATTGACTTTTCCTTTTCTACTGCAGTAGAAAATTGTAAAAAGGATATCGTTTCTTTTCTTATGGTAGAGGATTTTGAAACAGAAATGTATTTATTTGGCATGACAGTAGATGGAGGAGGACACGCAACCAAGAGCTTTAAGTAATTTATGTTTACATTGTATGGGTTGATATTTGACACTGTTTTCTCAGTGACTTAGTACTGTTTTAAGCCAAAGTTGAACAACTTGTTATTTCTCGACTCTTCTCCCTCCTGTCTAGGTATTTGCTACTAAACTGACTTATCCTCAGCCAGTCACTCCCTGGAATGTCAAAGAGCTGAGGCAGGCTGTCATAAATGGCCCAAAGGTTCACCCTGGGGCCTCCATGGTCATTAATGAAGATGGATCTCGTACAGTGTTGAGTGCGAGCAGCTTGACCCAGAGGGAAGCCATAGCTAAGCAACTCCTCACTCCTTCTTCAGGCGCGCCCCAGTCAGGACTGAAGATTGTGAGTACAACAAAGGGCTTGTCGGAGCCCTCCTACCTTGTGGTGTTTTTTTTAAAATAATAATAATAATAATAATAATAATAATACTGTCCTTGCTAGTGATTCCACTCACAAAGACTCCCAGGGCAGGGTTATTTTGTCTTTTAGTAGATGGCTAAGAAAAAGTTGGAGGGTGTGTGGGAAGAAGAGCTTGATAATTTTTCAAATTCTAAAAACCATTTTTCCATCCTGAATTTTAATCTTCTATTAATATGCAGCGTATGGCATTCATCGTGCCAAGAAGCGGAGTAGTCTTTCTTTTGCAGCTGACTATTCTTGGGAAATCTTAGAAGTATGGAAGATAAAATATTGCTTTCATTTTATACTTTTATGTCCCCCTGCCTCCCCATCCTTCTCAGCAAATTCTATCTTATTTCCTCTCCTTTTGAAATATTAAATAGGTTCTGTATCTGGAGCGGGTTTTTGGTGGTAGTTCTGAAGACCAAAATTCAGTATACTTGTAGAATAGGTACAACACAAGCAGTTGATGTAATGTGTCTTCCAGGAGTGGGGTGCCTGTGAGTATCTACAAAGTAGAGTTCTCTGTTCTATGTCAGCCGTGCTGGTAGTGGCACCGACCAGAGCAGGAGTGGTCTGTGTTTTAGTGCTGACTGCTGTAACCTGGGATCCATCTTCCCATCAGCATCTCGTTTTACAGATGACAAAACAAGAAACAACCACACTGATATCCGTCTGTTTGTACAGATGTTAACATTTGTGAAATGCATAGTGCTTATATCAGTTGTTTCTTCGGAGCTGCTGGAGGGTTTGAGTTCTCTGTGCTATAGCTTAATCAACCTTTGAAACTTCTTAATAACTGTATCTCCATCCCTTGCAAGAGTTGAGAACTTATTATTTAGCTGCTAGGGCAAAAGTTTTGGTGATGAATAGTCTCTTCACATGTCTGTTATGTATACCTCTGTCTCTAATAGAGGCATGGTAGAGATTTAATATTTAAGACTGAGTATTTCTGTGATGTCACTTCTCTCAGAACCTGTCACAGAGGTAAACATAACAGTATTTAGACTGTGCAAACAGCTTATCATACTACTGTTGATAATCACTTGAATGGATTTATGGGTGTTACTGACAGAAATTAAAATGAGACTGTTTTGCAAGACTGTTCTAGGTAAGATATACTGTGCTGTACTCAAACCTTGAAATTATAACCCTGAGATCCCTGGCCTCTGCTTCAGCTACTGGGTCATATTATTACCTTATTCTAGGATGTCCGGTGCTGGGTGTATGGTGATAGGTATTATCAATTCAGCCCAGTGGGCTTTGGATAAATAGTTTATTTTCTCATTTACAAATGGCACAGTTTTCTTTCCTTTTCAGTCTGTGATCCCTATATTGCCAAGGGAGAGGAGAGATTGGTAGAGCATGGCTGGCATGCTGTGAACTTGGGTTGATCACTGTGGTTTGTGGGAGTTAATGGAGGATATGCAGCCTTAGAGTGTGGTTTGGTGGAGAGCAGAGGGCATTCAGGGGCAAATAGTCTTGACTTTCTTACAGAGTTTTGCGCAGAACATTAATACTAGAAAGAAAATGTTTTGGATGTGTGTGTATTTTAAGATGCAGTCTTTTCAGAGGCATGCATGGAAATGCCTTATAGGCAGCAACCGAAATTCTCTTGCAGGTATGTCGACATATTAAAAATGGAGATGTCCTCTTACTGAACCGCCAGCCCACTCTTCACAGACCCTCCATCCAAGCTCACCGGGCCCGAATACTGCCTGGAGAAAAAGTGCTGAGGCTTCACTATGCCAACTGCAAGGCTTACAATGCTGATTTTGATGGTGATGAAATGAACGCCCATTTTCCACAGAGTGAGCTGGGCAGAGCAGAAGCCTACACCTTAGCCTTTACCGATGAACAGTATCTGGTTCCAAAGGTAAGTAAAACTGTCAGATAAATTTATTCCTATGCAAAACCACTTTAATTTTTTTGTGTGTTTGTTTGGTTTGGTTTGTCTGATGAGAATGAGATTATTTTTTTATTTTTTTTTTTAATTTAGTTTTGAAATTTATTCCTGGTTTCTGTTCTGTCTCCACTTGTGGTTCTCTTCATCTAAAGAAGGCCCAGCACATCCAAACAGTCTTGTTCCTTTTAATGTCAATGTCCAGAAGAGATTTAGCAGAGGGCTGTGCTGATGAGTTCTTTACAAATGACTTTAGTTCTTCTGTACAGCTTGAATAATTTTGGAAGCTGCTAGTACATGACTAATTATCCACACCCCTGCCGCCCCCCCCCCCTTTTTTTTTTTTGCTGTTATCTCTTTAGGATGGGAAGCCACTTCCTGGCTTGATCCAGGATCACATGATTTCTGGAGTCAGCATGACAATCCGGGGCTGCTTTTTCACCAGAGAGCAATATATGGAGCTTGTTTACCGAGGACTAACAGACAAAAAAGGAAGAATTAAAGTCTTTCCTCCTGCCATTATGAAACCACAACAGTTATGGACAGGAAAGCAGGTAGTTTATTGTTAAAGAATGCTGGTGGTTCCAAAGTAAGCAGAATGCTAATGTTAAAACCAGTGCTGGTGAGGGTTGCTGAAAAGCCAGATCCCATCATCTAATCAACACCACATAGATGTTGGTGTGTGTTTATTGAGCTATGAGAGTCGTCTTTCATTTAAAATGACAGTATTAGAATAGTACTTCTACTTGCTGCTCTGAACAGTGTTGCAGATAGAAGTATGATGCTGCAGTACAGGCATGGGAGCAGAGAAGGAATTTGTTGATCATAGTAAACTAGGTTGTGCCAGTCAGTGCTTTTAAATCTCTGAACTTAAAGGTTGTAGGTAAATATTTGACTTTTTGGTTGAGACCATCATTAGGTTGATGTAATACCTGGGAAGCCCAAGTGAGTGCTCCATTTTCTACTATTTAAGAGAGTTTACATTCAATCCAAATATTATGTCTCATAGCAGAGTAGGGGAAATTCTCTGCCAGTTTTTCCTATAAAACCCAACAGACAACTTTTTTTTTATATATATATAGATACATAATTATTGGAAAAATCTTTAGTGCCATATGTTTCTGAATAATTATGTGTCTTAGCTCATTGATCTTTCAAAGGCTAGAGGATATTCCTGTCTTGTAAACTTCAGATTTCTGAGCTTTTAAAGGTTTGCTGTCAGTGGAAAAAAATACATATAGTATGTTGCTGTTCTACTTCATGCCAAATTCTTCACCTTGAGAAGGGAATATGGGAAATAAATAGTTCCTGCCACTCTTCCTGCTTCTTTATAGGTTGTTTCTACATTGTTAATAAACATCATTCCAGAAAACCATATCCCACTGAATTTGACTGGGAAAGCTAAGATTGGTGGAAGAGCCTGGGTAAAGGGACCTGCAAACAGATGTCTAAATCTTGATTCAATGTGTGAATCTCAGGTATGCTGGGGCAGCGACTCTGGAGGCTGGGCTGGGATATATTGTAATAAAATTGTGTATACAGTAGAGGAATGGGAAGGGGAAGCAGGCAGATGACAAGGTTAAACAAAGATATTCAGTTACTGCAAGATTAGAGGATAGCCCTGGGGGTCAGGAAGAACTCTGTACTGACCCTGACTGATACAGATTCCATCAGTTTTTGTTAGACCATGTGTCTTCATTGTTTGACTTTATAGGTGGAAAAATACAGATGGTGTTAGAAGTTCTATTTCTGCTATAAATTCTGGAAGTATAGATAACCTGACCATATTTAACTCTTCACCAATATGTGGGCTTTTTAAACTTAAACCTGTTTTCATGTAGATTACACAGAAAAATCTGTAGAGATCATAAGATCATAAAAATTTCTGTGTTCATGAATAGCTGTGTTTTATTTTTCAGGTTATTATGAGAAATGGGGAATTAATGTGTGGAGTCTTGGACAAAGCTCACTTTGGCAGCTCTGCCTATGGCCTGGTCCACTGTTGCTATGAAATCTATGGGGGTGAAACCAGTGGGAAAGTGCTAACATGTCTAGGACGCCTCTTTACTGCTTATCTGCAGCTGTACAGGGGATTTACAATGGGTGAGTAACACAAGGACTAATTCACCAGTGCTGTAGTGCAGCACCTCCTAAGATACAGAACAGACATTGTTAGGCATAATACATGCTAAAAGTTCTGTAAATATAATTTTGCTAAACTGTCCTTGAGTGGGATAGCTGTTTGCCAGCCTATTTTTGGTCTTTTTTGTTCGGGTTGATGCATAGCTGGCCTTCTAACAGTAAAGAGAAAGTATAATCTTGAGTATGTCCATCAAGTCCTCTCTTCTGTCCTGCCTAGTCAAAGTGTACACAGTCTAAATGTCTTGTGTTGAATTTTGTTTAGATCAAAAGATCCTATGAGTCTTTGTTATTTTACTTCTCTGAAGAAGAATTGTTGCATAGAAACCAGCTGATAAAGCAAGGTGGAAGAACTTTGAGGGATTATTAATAAAGTCTTGCATATCTCATTCTATTGTAAATCTTTTGGTAAACGTTTGACTTTCATTACAGCTTTGCAAACTGATACAAAAAATGCACTTGGCATGCAATAAAAATTTGACCCTTACTGTACTCTTTCTTCTTGCAATAGTTGAAATATTTCAAATTACAATGTAGAGCTTTACAAGATGTTTTTGTACTAATGAAATACTTACAGTATATAGCAGCAGGAGGGTTTAAATTGGCTTTGTCTGAAGGCACAATATGATCACTTAGAGTTACGTAGGCACGGTCAACTGGTAGACAGCAGTGGTGAGGAACCAACAGACTGCTGTGAGCCAAGGAAAAGGGAGGGACATCAGTTGAGGTGAGGAAGGCAATTAATTAACGGTAAGACACAGAAAATATGTCTAGAGAGACAGGGTGCAAAAACTAGTTAGGAAAAGATAATGAGCCTGGGATCACCAGGTAGTTAAAACATAAGAAAAAGAGAAGTGAGACTGGAGCAGGAGTCTGGGATTTGGTGAAGATGAGACAATTCGGGACTGAGCAAGATGAGACTTTGGGGTGAGATGAATAAGGTTCAGGAGTAGCAGATAAAGTAGAAGAGACAAGGATGGAATGGGAAAAGGAGAGCAGGGCTGGAGAAAAAGAGTAAAAATAGAGGGACATGTGACGGGGCCATAGGCTCCTTTGCCTTCTAAATGTGTGTGCAACTCACTAGTAAAGTGTCCCACTTGTCCCCCTACAACTGCTGTACACTTAACCTGGGACAGTCTTCTGGAGGTGATCTAATACAGCTCCCTGCTCAAAGCAAGTCCTGCCAGGTGAGCTTGCACAGAGCAATGTCCAGTCGAGCTGGGAATGTCTCCAGGGATGGTGATTGTACAACCTCTCTGAGTCCCTGTGCCAGCATTTAATCATATATGTTGTCAAAATTTTTTTTTCCTCTTGAAGAAAATTTTGTTTCCTTGTATCTTTGAAGGACAAACACATCTTTCAGCCTCTCTTCATCCATCACGTGCTCTACTTTTAGTGACCACTTTAGTGACTTTCACAGGACTCCTTACAAATAGCTTAAGGAGTTAGGGTTCCAACGTTTGATTTCTTCTAAACTGTTGTTCTCCTGGTCCTGTCATCACAATGGTCTGTATTTTTAGTTTACCTTTTTAAAAAAGCTAGGAAATGACAGATTCTGCAAAGTTCAGCTAATAGGAACTTTGAAGTGGATGGAAGAGAAAAAACAGTTTGATGTGGCTGGCCTGTAACACATTTGTTTGTGCAGGTGCACCGATTAAGATTTTATAGACACTGTTGAAGTTAAGACTTCTTAACTTAGGGAGTTGATTTTGCACGCTTAATGCTTAGCTTAGTTGACGCTGCATTGGTTTTTTGACAGCCTATGCCTTCTCCCTCAAAAAGCCATTCAGAATTTTTTTTTCTTGTCAAACTGCAGTTAGCCTGATTTTAACAATTACTATTTCTTTAACTGTGACTTCCTTTTCCAGCTCTTTGCTCTCAAAATCCCTGACACCAAATGTGATTACTTCCTCAATTCTTTTTCATTTTTAGATCATTATGTGTTCTGTCTCTCTTTAACAGGGATTGAAGATATTTTGGTTAAACCTGAAGCAGACCACAAAAGACAAAAAATCATTGAAAAGTCAAGCCAGCATGGTATTGAAGTAAGTCTGTCTTGCAGAAGTTCCACCCCTAACTCTCCCCCCCCCCCCCCCCCACTAAAAATTTTTGAAATCCTGCCCTGTTTAATCATGCCTGCTTAGCACCTAAAAACGCCCATATTTTACTTTCAGGCTGTTAGAGCTGCTCTTAATTTGCCAGAAACAGCATCGTGTGAGGAGGTCCAAGGGAAATGGCAGGATGCCCATCTCTGCAAAGACCAGAGGGATTTTAACATGGTAGATCTGAAATTCAAGGAGGAAGTAAACAATTACAACAATGAAGTTAACAAGGTTGGCATCGAGGCATCTGTGTATACTAATCTTGTTTGGAGACTTTCTTATTAAGTTAATTTAATGTCGATGAGGGTTGCATGACTTTTCTGGAGGCTGAAGCTTTCCATCTGGCCCCAGCATGAGCTTCACATACTGCCTCACCGCCTCAACCTTGTCCTCCCTGAGTGAGAAGATGGCTTAATATTCAAGATGCTTTTAAAATTATAAATAGGAATGCTTGTGATGACTCCTTGTTTCACTTTCTTAAAGTTTTCAACAGGAATTGCTTTGGTTTATTATTTTATTAATAATGGTTTTGTTTTGTTCCCTTTACCCCATCACAACTCTTTAGGTTTGTATGCCCCTTGGTCTCCACAGGAGCTTTCCAGAGAACAATTTGCAGTTGATGGTACAGTCAGGAGCCAAAGGGTCTACTGTAAATACAATGCAGGTAATGATAGCTAGAATAGCTGCATGTGTTGATGTGATTTGTCCTAGAATGTAAGCTATTGAGAAGCTCTTGTGTGGATATCTAGTACCAAAGCAAGATTTTTATTCTGGGCTTTGGGAATAGAGGCCTTTGGCATGAAAAAATTTTAGAAGAATGTAATAAAGATCTCAGTTGGGTGATGGAGGAGAGTCAATGTTTATTATAACCTTCTATTTTTGAATCAGTTCTTGGTACATTAGGATTTATAGAAACAGCAGACCTTCTTTTTGGAAGGAATGCAGCAGATTATACAAACAAACCTACTGTAGGAGAGAACTTTTCCTGGCCTCTGTTGGAGACTGACCCCTCTGTTTCCTTCTTCCATTACTGAATAGGAACAACTAAATCTTACTTTGATTTTGGTAGAAATGGCAAGGATGTGTTTTCATTTTGTCTTCTGCAACACAGACACCAAACAAGAATCAGTATATAAAAAGGCCTTCTAAAATTCCATCTCTGATTAGAGAGAATGACTAAAGCTCAAGAGAGAGAAGGTGGTGTTTTTGAGATTTTTTTTTTTTGTGTTCTGTTTTTAGTACACTGCTGAGAGGTGGTGAGGGTAATGTAGGGACCTAAAAAATATTTACGATATTTTTAGTTTCACATGTCTTTGTATTAAAACAAACATACAGAATGAGAATGAAAATGTTGAGGATGAGTCAAGGGGCTGGAATGACTTAAAAAGACCAGATAAGGTCTGCATGCCTTTTCTGCCCATCGGTAGCAAGAACATTAATGAACATGTTGACATATAGCTAAAGAACATTTAGTGAACGTTTTCATTTTTTTACTGTGTTTTTCGGGAAAAATTGTTGAACTTATGTGAGCAAAAAGTTGGATGGAAAACTGTTGTTTCCTTTTCTCCTGCCCATATTTAGATTTCTTGTTTGCTGGGCCAGATTGAGTTGGAAGGTCGAAGACCCCCACTGATGGCATCTGGCAAATCACTGCCATGTTTCCAGCCTTACGATTTTTCCCCTAGCTCAGGAGGATTTGTGACTGGCAGATTTCTCACTGGGATCAAACCTTCTGTAAGTTTAATACTGCTTGTGCTTATACTGAAGTTTATTTAAATCTTGGTATTTTAATATAGAATGTCTGCGATTATAGATAAATCGACTTTGTTCACCCTACTTTCATATGTGGCTTTTGAGAAAGAGAGCATGAATTGCCAGTCTTGGTGTACTTCTCAGCAGAATGCTGATGGTATTGTGCTTATGTTTAGGAATTCTTCTTTCACTGCATGGCTGGCAGGGAAGGTCTCGTGGACACAGCTGTCAAAACCAGCCGTTCTGGGTACCTACAAAGGTAAGAGGCTTGTTTTAGAACTTGAGCCTTTAAAAGGTCCTTTTGTTTGTTTGGGTTTTTTTTGTTTGGTTGGTTGGTTTTTTTGTAGAGTAGTGTAGACTGGAAGAAGTACCTGTATTGCTTAGATTAACTTCAGTGTGCTTGATTTTTAGAAAAGTGTTTACAGTTTGAGTTTTGAATGTTTGTTCTAAGGCTGACTTTCTGGAGGACTAGATAAAGTGGAACTTTATCATCTGTAACTTATCTCTGGCACACAGCAGCAGCAACTTTTCCTTTTGGAGAAATCTTTTTCCTGGTACAAGTCAAGATGTACAAATTCCAGGCACCTGTAGCTTTTCTTGGCAACATTGTGCGCCCTTGTCTTTATCCCAGCAATGCTTCCACTACATAGAAGAAGATGGAACTTTCTAATTGTTTCAGAGGGTAGTGAGGGGTTCTAGAGGAGGGATGCCCTCTTGTTTCAGGCAACTGTTTGAGTGACAGCAGATATAGAGTCATTTGCTATTTCATTTTAAGTCACTGCAGTCCAAGGAAACTGAAGGGAGGGACGTGCAGAAAGCTTTGCAGTATCATTATGCATTTCACCTGTGTGTTGTGTCTATGGTTTTTGGCTTCCAGAATTCCTGATCAGCCCTTAAGTGCACTTAAGATATTAATGAAAACAGTATTTTTCATGTTAGAGTTTTATCATCCTTGTTGCTTTGTAGCCTCTTAACAGTGGTTCGGATTTTTTTCTCTGGAACAGGTGTATCATAAAACATTTGGAAGGACTGGTAGTTCAGTATGACCTGACAGTACGAGATAGTGATGGCAGCGTGGTGCAGTTTCTGTATGGAGAAGATGGGCTTGATATCCCTAAAACTCAGTTCTTACAACCTGAGCAATTTCCTTTCATTGCAGAAAATTATGAGGTAGAACACCTAAATCTTAAGTATTTATATGGGGTGAAGGGGGAGACTGAAATGCATGATTAACATCTGGCATATCTGTTAAGGATCCAATGGCATAGTTGTTTCTCAGTCATTCTCAGACTAACCTACATTTTTATTTGCTATTGTATTCAAAATACAGAAGCGAATCTTCAGTCTGTGGCATGATTTAGGCAGTCTCAATTTCAACAGAGCACCAAGTGCTCTCCCTGTTCTTATCTATTCTAATTCTGCATTTGGATTCAACACAGATGACTTAACCAAACTTGACAGACTGAAGAGTAAAATTCCTTTTATCAGTATCATCACTGCTTATTAAAGAATGGCAATAGCCACATAAAGATACAATGAGTTTTGTCTCAGTTGGGTTGAAAACCAATTTTGAAAGCTGTTTTACAGCAGCTGAACATTTTCAGTGGCAGCAGATGACCTTTCCAGTTTGCTTTGCCTTTTCTGCTACAGTGAGCATAGGGAGAAGAGTAGTCATACAGGTAATTTTCTTACAGGTAATCCAGAAGACAAACCATCTAGATGAAGCTTTAGCAAGGATGGAGTCTCACCAAGCTAACCAGCAGTTCAAAGCCATCAAAAAGTGGCGAGCCAGGCACCAAAACTCTGTGCAAAGAGAAGGAGGTTTTCTGATGTTTTGCCAAAAGAAAATGGCAAGTGTAAAAGCACAGATTACGGGAGGAGAAATCAAAAATGGAAGAGATCCTGCTACTTTACAGGTAACACGGAAGCAATTGAATTGCCTGAGCCCTTTAAAAAAGTTGCATAATTCAGTGATATTTTTTTTTCTTTTTTAAATGGCTTTTTATGTCCCGAAGTGTTTCACAGTCTACTTATATAAAGTTAACCTTTTGAAGGAATCATGTTAGCTGTGTGGGTGATGAAGCTGAGGTTCATTTATTGAAGTCTGTGGGCCCTGGCGCTAGGTTAGAGGCCAAAAACTCTGAGGTAAAACTGGTTTTAGAAAACAGTCCATGTTTGTCGGTGTTTTTGGGGGATTGTTTTTATTTGTTTGGTGGTGGGTTGTTTTTTTGTTGTGTGGTGGTTTTTTTTATTTTATTTTTTTAATTTCATGTACACAGAGTAGATCTCTCTTGGATGGACATCTGCTACCTGGGTGAGAGGCTGTTAAATACAAAGATCAGAGCGCTGAGCCAGCCCTGCCTAGTGTTTCAAAAAAGTACTTTTGCTTAGGCCTCTTGAACATCAGAGCACTAATCTATATGTTATGGCTTCTAATGAAGATTGTATGTACAGACACAATATGCAAACAGGTGCTGCTTCACAGCCTTGCTTTCAGAGGGAATTTACCCTGGTAGAATGTGGACAGTTAGCGTGAAACTCCCAAGTTGAAGGTGTTGAGATTACATAACTCTGTGAGCTTGTCTGCAAATGTTATGCCTAATCACCGGTTTATTTATTCAGCTATGCTGAATTTGCATTGCTGTTGGCACTTCTGATAACATTCAAAACAATATGGCCTGTGGATTCGTTTACTGTTTGTTTGTTTTTTTCTTTCAGTAGATAGGTAGATATAGATAACATGTTCATCTCTTTCTCGGTATATTGTAAAGCTCAGTGGACAGACTTCCATGTCACAAGCCAATTCCTCCTTCATAAAACATCAAGGCATGTAAAAGACAGGTTTAGCTCATTTTTTGTATTGATATATTTCTTTTTTAAGTCACTATTAACTTTTTCCTTTATTAAATGCAACATTTGAAGTGTTACTTGAAAGACTAGCAAACTGAAGAATAGAAATAAAACCAAGATAAGATGCAAGCTATGTTTAAGGTCTCTGCTGGACTATTGGGCTTGAATGTTGATAGCTGAAAATCAGAGAAGCTCCTTTGTCATGCCAGTTTTAGACAGGTGAGGTGGTAGTCAGCTAGAAGTAAAGATTTAAGTATGTTGAGGGGGTTCACTCCCAAGTTAAAATCATTCCTAGAGGGCTGTATTTTGCTGATTTTTGGAGTAGTTACTATGGATAGGTAGGTCTGACTATTTCAAGCTTGTAAAGAATCGTGAAGTCATTTGGGATCAAAAGTGTTAAGTGTCAGATAATTAAGAACTCCATATTTGTAGCCGCATTGTTTGCTGTGTTATGTACACCCTTAAGTTTTACACAGGTAATCTTTTCCTCATTTGCTGTTGCTGGTGGAAGTAGTGTTACTTGGTTTTGGTCTTATTGTGGACAAACCAGTCTGCTTAAAAATCTCCTCTTGTTTTTAGTTATTGAAGATGTGGTATGAACTAGATGAGAAGAAACGAAGAAAGTATATGAAGAAGACAAATAAATGTCCTGACCCAAGCCTTGGTGTTTGGCGTCCAGATACTTATTTTGCATCTGTTTCAGAAACATTTGAAAATGGAGTCGAAGATTACATCAACAAATGGGAATCTGAGAACAGACAAAGTTACATGCGCCCAGCACTTTCTTCTGATCGGTAATAACTTCTGTGTCTTTAGTTCTTTGCACTGAGCCAAAACCCAAAATGCTTATTTTTGGACTGAATTTGCTAAAGATGAAAAGTCTTTATCAACTCTTGGTTTTGTTGTGACCTTTGTAAAACAAAGTAGTGGGTTTCAGAATGGTTCCTGGAAGTCAAGTGTGCTTAGTGTGCAGTGGAGAGGCCCTGGTTGCAGACCTGAATTTTCTGTTTTGCTAAGGGCTTTGGCGAAGGCTTTATGGACTAACAGCAACGTATTGCTGTCCCCCTACATATAAAATAATACTTTACAGTAATGCTTAAAAACCAAAATATGCTCTTGTCACACCTTGGAGTTAGCAAGGCAGTTAAGATGAGCAAGTGGGAGTAAATGGACTGTCTTTTGACATTCTGAGAATTAGCAGCAGAATTAAAATATGGTTTGGCCAAGGCCCCAGTTCTGTGTTGATGGGCTGTGTTTGTCAGATCAGATTGGGTTAGACAATTTTATAGTTTCTGCAGTGTATTTATCCATAAGCTACCGGGAGAAACTGGCTGAAAGAGGTAACTGTATTGAACTGAGCAATGTTTCAGCCTCTTCTGAGTTTTTTATTTTGTACTACGTTGAGCTAATCCTCTTACTTCCTTGTCTTCAGGTTGAAGGATTTGTTGTATTTAAAGTGGCAGCGATCTCTTTGTGACCCAGGAGAAGCTGTGGGTCTTCTTGCAGCTCAGAGTATTGGGGAACCTTCCACACAGATGACTCTGAACACCTTCCACTTTGCTGGCAGAGGTGAAATGAATGTCACGTTGGGTATTCCAAGGTGAGAAAACTTTGTTCTCAATGGATCCTTCGCAATTTTTGGCACTTAGGTAATAGTGCTTAATCTCACTGGCAGGTATATGTGTAATCTTGAGGGCAAATGATCCTTCAGTTTAATTGTAAATTGTGCCTCTTCATATCTAATGTTTTACAATGTTTTCCAATTTTATGGTTGTTTTGGTTCGTTTTCCAGATACAAAATATCCGTGAAGGCCCCTTAGTCTTATCTGATGTATAGGAAATGGCTTATTTGTTTCTGTATTTTTAGTCAGTACAGTATAAGCCTAAAGAAATGGTGCTTTGTGGGTTTGCCCTCTGCTGACCCTGACCTCTTCTTCCCCCTACTAACTTGTAAACCTATTTTTTTTCCCCCCACAAAATTTCACTGCAGCTATGAAATCTGGCATGTGTAGTATCATTGTCACCTATGTAGAGAGAGACCTGTTTCATAGCGGCCAGGTTTCCCCTGGCTCTTCTGTTTGGTGACAGTGACTTTATTAGCGCACATGTGTTTACCAGCCAGTTATCAGCTTGTTCTGAATAACATGGGTGCTGACCCTGGCCTTGTGTGTAGGTATGCAATGCCTTAGATGGGAGATGGTTGTGTTACTTCAGAGAAGCAGGGGAGGGGGAGAAAGTATGAAGAAGCATACATTATGCATCTGTAGGAAACAGGCTTCATTAGTTCTGCTCTTGGAATAATTTACTTTCATCACTATTCTCTTCTCGTAACTGGGGTGATATGCTCACTGAGGCAGTAGAGCTACTGTTGTGCTGTGCCTAATGAGGAACAAGAAAAGTAAAAAGGAGTAGTGCAATGGTAACCACAGCTCTTGATGCATATGGCTTTGGTAGAATTAGCAGTTGCTGCATGCTGCCTAATTAAATGAACTAGATACTTACTTGAATGCATAGTGCTTTTATGCTTAATTTGAAAGATCTTTTTTTATTTAAAGGTTGCGGGAAATATTGATGGTGGCCAGTGCAAAAATTAAAACACCAATGATGAGTGTTCCTGTGTTCAATACCAAGAAAGCTTTCAAGAAGGTGAAACAGCTTAAGAGACAGCTCACGAGAGTGTGCTTAGCTGAGGTGAGCCTCCTATTCAGTGTATCCTTTGAGAGTCAGCAAAACAAAATTTCCTGTTTGAGCTCATCAGTTAGTCTGTCTTTGTAGCAGTGTCCATTTTTGAAGGCTTATCTGTGAGCACAAGATGAGAAGGTCCTTTCTTTTCGCCTCTTGCATACTGAACCTGTAATATCGCTAGGAAGTGGAGCACTGAAAGGAATGGCAGTAACTGTGGCTGCATGAGACTTAAGTTCAATTTAACCTGTAGAGCATTGTCACAGGCTATAAACTCTATAGAATATGAAGGAAGGGTAATAATTGAGACATAGCAGTAGTATAACAGCAGGGAGGGTTTATGTTTGCTGCCATAACCTTGTTTGGCTTTTTCTCAAGCTCATTTTTGTCAGTCTCTAGAATTGGAGGGGTTTTGTCTTCTCTTTGAGACAATCTAATCTGGCTGTGGCTGGCATAGCAGAGACCTCTCTGTCCCCTACCCCTTCCTAATCCTATACAAGTGGCTGTGCTCAGTAGAAGCAAAATGCGTGGCTTCATGGAGACTCAATATACCGAACTCTGATGTATTCTGTACTCCCTCTTTCTAGGGGTGAAGTCTTTCTTGTGTTCTCCTGCATGCCATACGCTATTCTGTCTTACTCTTTCAAGTTGAAATTGGCAAGGATAGAGTTGAGACTCAGATCTGTGCTGGAATACTGTCATGGTCAATGAGATGGGTCAGTAAAATGAAGCTGTTGGCCCACTAAGAAGTGTTTCTTGGGAAGGAGTCAGGTGGGAGGTGAGGCTGTTCTCCCAGTATTGTCTAAGTTAATTGTGGGAGGAGTTTAAGCCAAAAAGAGTGCAATAGGGTAGAGCCCTTTTGCCCAGGAGCTGCTGCAAAGCCCCCAGAAAAGTTTGCCAGTTAGCCTTGTGTAATTCTGGTCTCCAGTGGAAGGCATTGGAATTGCAGGAAGTAAATGAAGTGTCTTCATCAAAGGAGTAACATTCCTACTTGGGGCTTTTGTAGGTCTTGCAGAAAGTTGAGATAGAGGAATCCCTGCGTGTGAAGTGCAAGCAGAACAAACATCGCCTCTACAAAATCAAATTCCATTTCTTGCCCCATGAATATTACCGAGAGGAGAAGTGTGTGAAGCCCAAGGACATCTTGCACTTCATGGAAACAAGGTGAGTTTGCTTTCAGATACTTGAATATTTGCTCTTCTTTTGCCTTTCCGTGGGCTCTGAGGGTCACTGCATGTTGTTTATTGCTGCTGCTATGGCTTTCAGAGCGACAGCTTCCTGCAGATTTGCTTGCAGAAGCATCTACACAGTTGCTTTTTATGTCTTGAATAAAACTGTGGATCTGTGGTGTGGTGACAGTGCAGAATTGTGTCAAGGCAGATCTTTAACACGTCTTCGATATATTCAGAGAAGAGCCATATAAGCAACATCTCATTCCTTATCTTTGGATACTTAAACATTTATTACCAGCAAAAATGTTTGAATACTTTAGGTATCCCTTGGTGCTCTCATTGAACAGAACTAAACCTTAATTTTTTTTTTTTTTTTTTTTTTTTAAGTAAATAAATGAGAAAAGGCTGGCTTTTTTTTTTTTTCCCCTCCTTTCTTTTTTCCCCCTGCTTCTTTCCCCATGTCTGGCCAAATTTGTGTAGTTAAAAGTAGAACATTTAATGATAAGGGTCTATTGAAAGCTATTTTTGTTTTGCAAAAGTGCTTCATTGATTTCTTCCTCCTTCGGGCCACATGAGTTCAAGCTAGGTTACTCTATTTAACAATTTCGCATGTGCTGGTTGGTTGACAAAAGAAAAAAGTCCAGTAGTAAACCATCTCTTCTGAAGGTCAATTTGATGTGCAGATTTTATGTCCAGATGAGCTTACTATTTTAAGCTTAGGATGCTTGGCTACTACATCTGTGATTGTGAGAGAGCTGATACCAACCTTTTGATTCCTAAATGAATGAGAAAGGGGTGAGAAGAAAAATTATTTGCCTTCTCCTAGAGGTACTTTTGCATCCACCAGAGAATATGTCTGTCATGAGTTGACTGGCTTATTAAAATCAATTAATTTTCTGACAGCTTGAAATTGACTGCAGTACTGCAGAGCTTTGACATTCTGGGTTGCTGCTTCTTTCAGGTTCTTTAAAATTTTTCTGGAAGCAATTAAAAGGAAGAATGCAAAGATGGCATCTTTTACTGAAGTCAGCACCCGGAAGGCAACTCGGAAAGATTTAGATGGTGACCAAGACAAGGTACAGAAAAACATTACCTGAAAAATGTCTCACTTCCTTTACCTGTTTTTGAGAACCAGAATTTGGAAAAGCATAGCATGTTTCAAAGTGAACACGAAATGTGTGAATACTAAATTACTACTTAAATATTTTCTTTATGTGTAAACTGTCTTTGCATTCTCATAAAATTAACAAGGAAATTAAAGTTATTGTATATTAAATCCTAATTTACTTAAGACTGTACTCTGAAAATGCCTGTTTATTTTAACTTCGGTGAGATAAAAGTGTATTACTCACCGTTTGCTCCCAGATCAATGTCCCGTTATAGCAGTGGCTGTCAAAACCTTGGGGAAGATCCTTTTTTCATTGAAAGGCTTTTACACGTTCCTTCTGCCACTCCTCTCCCATCAAGGACTGTCATATAAGCAGGCTGATAGCTTATCTATCTTGTAGATGCTCATCTTGTTTAATATTACAGTTATCATGAGTGTAAGTTCATTACTACTTTATAGTAGTGAATTTCTAGAAATTAATTTGTCCTTAAAGGTAGAACATTGAACAAGGGATTGTTAAATTCCAAATGTTTGGCTAAAGCCTTTTGATGCAGTTGATGCTTCCTAGCAGTGTTACTGCCACAAGCAGTCAGCCTGATTATCTGGTCTGTCATGGATTTCTAGGCACTGAGTAATCAGGAAGCTCCAGCAGAGGAGGAAGAGAACATTGTTGATGCAGAAGCTGATGAAGGGGATGGTGATGCTACAGAAGCAAAACGGAGGAAGAACCAGGAGGAAGAGGTAATGATTTTATAGATGCTCAGAACTGCACTTTAATTCCTAATTTCCTCTGCCTTGGTTTGAATTGGGAAGGAAAGCTTCCATTGAAACAAAATGCTGAAAAAAAACCAAAACAAAACAAAACAAAAACCGCAAAACATTTGAAAGAAGGTAGGAAAATCTCTGCTTTGTGCTGATCAGTTTTGATTTGGATGGGGGAAAAACTATAGCAGAAGATGTGGGCTAAGACTTGTGATGACTTTAGTCATCATAGTTGAGCCTGGTCACTGCTGTCCTTTAAGAGTAATACAGAACCACGCAAGTTAGAGATGGAGGAGATCTGCGTCTTTCCAAAGCCTTGTTCTTCAGGCATTGGGCAGATGTGTCTGGCAATCAGGCTGTCTGTGCTGTAGTTCACCTTAACTTTACCTCTTGCTATTTTCATGCTGTTGTTTTAAAAACTTTACTTTGGTTCTTAATAAATATTCTCTCTGGCTCTGCATGTTTCTCTGTGTTCACTACTTCGTAATTACTGCTTAAAAGATGGGTTGCTGTAATTTCAGCAAGAGGTACAGTAACTGAAAATCCTGAGGGAATCCCATCATCAGAGTTGGATTATGAGAAGAGCCTTTTTGGGGGAAGAAAACTAAATTCTGCTATGGTCCCAATAACCTGTAGCATCCTGTACTGTATTGAGGAATAAGGGCAAGATTATAAAGACTGAACTGAATCTGTTTTATTATTTTCTTTACAACAGAATTACATTTTCATTGTGTCATAGGTGAGATACTTGTAACTCAGCTGTCAAGAATATTCATGAATAAAACTGTTCATGGTGTGCTTTGTTTCTGTACGTGTTCTGGCTCAGATAAATATGACATTATTTCTTTGCAGGTTGATTATGAGAGCGAAGAAGAGAATGGGGAAGAAAATGTTGATGAGAATCTAGAAGATGAAGAGGCTGAATCGGAAAAAGAAGGGACTCCTGGTGCTGAAGAAGATCAGAATGGAGCAGATGGTGATGAATCTCAACATCTTTCCTTTATGTCTCAGGCTAAAAGAGAGAAAGATCGATTCCTTCAGTCAGCAGAGTTGCGAGTAAATGCTGTTCTGGACAGCCACCCATCAATACAGGATTACACATTTGACACCAAAAATGAACTTTGGTGTGAGGTAAGATGGTGGTGCCTGGAAACATCTGTGTGTGATTGCACAATGGTTGCATGTAGCTCCTATAACAAATGGATCTTTTCAGTACAGTGCTGCTGTTTTGTCTCAGCAATCCTGCATTAATACAGAAAAGTGGCAGTACGAATGTACTTCTTGACATTATCTTTTAGTAGCTTCTAACTTTTAGAATGCCTGATGAAAATTCATCTTAAAAACAGGTTTTTGACATTTTTATTGTGTTTTGATCTTTAAATATATGATGCACCACTCTGTAGCTCTTGATGAATAAAAGCATTGGCTGGACAGTTGAAAAAGTCTAAACATCTTAAAAAAACCAACCAAACAAAAAACCCAACAAACACGTACTCCCCTCCCCCCCCAAAAAAGGCCACCCAAAAAACCCCAGTCAATGTAAGTTCAGAGATCCTGAAAAGCCATATGGATAAATGATCCTGGGATGGGGTGTTCATGTTAGCATCCCTCAGCTGTGATTCTAGTCAGATGTTTATGTTCCTAAACACACAGCTAGGGTAATTCCAGTTGTCTACTTTTCACCTAGAAAGAAAAAGGCTGGTTATTGAGCCTAATGTTCAAGCTTCCTTACAGAACAATGCTATGTTGTTTTTTTCCCTCTTAGGTTTCATTGACGCTTCCATTGATGAAGGTGTACTTCGATATCTCCTCCTTGCTTGTCTCTCTTGCACGAAGCACAGTCATTCATGAAGTGAAGGGGATCACACGATGCTTGTTGAATGAAAGTACTAATAAGCAAGGAGAGAAGGAACTTGTTCTGCATACCGAAGGGATAAACCTTGTGGAGCTGTTCAGATACTCTGATGTACATAATCTATTTATAATCCTGAACTTGAATGATCTTTTGTGTTCTGGGGAAAGACGGTGGATAATGGATGCCATTTAAATTTAGCAGGGCTGATGTGTAGCCTTTTCAGCTCTTAAACTCTCTTTCCTTCTCCTTTCTACCCCCAGATGTGTTCAGAGCTCAGCAGAGCCTTTTCTCAAGGGCATCTTGCAAATCAGTTTTTGTGCAGCAGCCCAGTGTCTAATGACAGATAATTTCACACCACGCTTCTAACTGTCTCTCTAAATGTTACTTGAGGGAGTTCTTCCATCTAAATGAATTGCAGTACTTGGAGATGAATAGTTCTGTTACGCCATCTAGCCCATAACTCTACAAATACAGGATTGTTTTAAGCTACATCTTCTCTACTGCTTTTGCTGGAAGTTCTGGCTGGCTGAGGCAGACTGGGCAGTGCATTGTGTTGCTTGAAAGACTTTGGCATGTTTCTCTGCTGCTCGGGATGGTTTGTTAGTTTGCTTTTTCTAATTTCAGATAATTTTCTCCTGTGGTGAGTTTTGATTCTAGTACTTTTATTCATCTATATAATGCTGTGATCACTAGCTTAAACATAAATCACCGGAATAATTTTTGCCTGTATTTAGCTCTGAGCTGCTGCCTAGTTGTTCTGTAACTGTTGGTGCTGCTTAAGCTAATGAAAAATGGAGGAAAAACCTAGCTTAGCTTAGTTTAAGTTATTTGGAAATACCAAGTAACTGCTGTCCTAACTTGTATCTGTGGGTTTTTTTGCTTTCAGATTTTGGACCTGAACAGACTTTATTCCAATGATATTCATGCCATGGCTAAGAATTATGGAATTGAGTCTGCCCTGAGGGTGATTATAAAGGAAATAAAAGATGTATTTGCTGTATATGGTAAGATTTCTTTGAATTTTTAAAGTTAGTCTTTATTATCATTAAGATGGGAAAACCCAGCCACAGTGCTTACAAAGTTATGGTTTTGCATGATATTTTCATTTATGTGTATATTTTTAAGTTGCACCTTTTCATCGTTTTAATCATTATAGTGCCTTCTGTGAAGACTTTGTTAGTTAATTGTTAGGTTCCATTGTGGTGTATTTATTTTATGCAAGCTGGAAGATCCAGATGAATTAACTGTTGATGTCTGAGGAAGCTAACTGTTAGACTTGTATAATGGCCCCGAGAATAGGATTAATCTTGCCTCACTCTAGCTTCTAATGATGGGAGTCTAGGCTACCTTTGTAGTTGAGTTTTTATATCTTTCCTAAAATATCTGTGCTATGTTGTCTGAATGTTCTTCTCTCTGCATAGGTTATTCAGAGAGTCCAGGCACCTAGCTTAGGGAAGATGCCTGACTTCATAGGTTGCTTAAATTAGGCATGTTGAATTTGCCTCAAGTGAGCTAAGTCTTGCTATGAATTAAACTATTGAAAAGAGGGAAGATTAATACAGTGGGAATTTTAGCAACCAGTTATATCAAACAGACTTTCCAGCTGGCAGCCCAGAATGGTCTGACCTTCAAGTTGTTCAAGAACTGCTAGTTAAATGTTGACAGAGCTGTTAATGGTCCCCCATTACACTGACTGCACAAGCGTTATTTAAAAATAAGTGCTATTTCTTTTTAGCCTAAATGGGGTTTTCTGTGGATGCCTAATATCATGCACAGAAAATATCAGAACCTTTCTGATGCCGGTGCCTAGCTAATGCAGACTACCAGGTGAGGGGCTAGAGCTCTGTCCTATCACAAATGGATGGATGTGTGATCCCTTTCTGCATAAACAAAGATGATGCAGACCTTACTGATTTTATGTAGAGAAACTACCACCTTACAGTGTTCTTGACATTTTAGTTTCCCTGGAGAGACATTGTTCTATATTATAGTGGGGTCTGCCTCTCTTGGATATTTGAGGGGAGCAGTTAAGCCAGCTACGCACAAAGAGGTGCAACTGCCAGAAGAATGCTAATAGAGATGTTCTCCATGTTGATTAGTTTCAGGGGGTTTAATTTAGACCTATTTATTTAAAAAAAAAAAAACAAACACCACAAAAAAAAACCCCAACAAAACTTAGCCCTTGAATGCTCTGATGATTGCTCTTTCTTGTGTTCTTAGGAATTGTGGTAGACCCTCGGCACCTTTCACTTGTTGCAGATTACATGTGTTTTGAAGGATTTTATAAACCACTGAATCGTTTTGGAATTCAGTCCAACTCTTCCCCTCTGCAACAGATGACATTTGAAACCAGCTACAAATTCTTGAAGGAAGCAACAATGATGGGTAAATGGTTTAGTTTGAAATACATTGCTACAGCATTTCACATATGCTTTGTTTTCATCGTAACTTTCCACTATTTTGAGTAATGCATAACTGCATTAGAAAAAATGCCAGAGGCTAAAATTTTAATTAAGCCCTTGCCTAGGAAAATGTTCCAGATGTTTTTAATAAAATTGTCAGCTTAAATTAAGTCAGCTCCCACATGCAATTTGTGGGGTCTGTGACTCCTTTCTTTAAGAATTAGGTAGGCATTTTTATAACAAACCTTAAGATTTGTTATAGCAAAGCCTTTTAACAGACTACTAAATCTGCCTTTTTCTGTCTCTACCATTAAAATTGCCATCTCTGCTTTGTTTCCATGTCTGCATTATAACTCCCATATTTTCATCTCTTCTCTAACCTTGCTATTTAGAATTTTATTGTGAGAACAGTCCTCCTAGTTGTTACTTTGATTCTGTTTTTCTTCTGCTTTGTAGCACTTTACTATCTTTGCTTTTTTCCCTCAAACACAGACAAAGGATCAGATTCATTTGTCTAATGGTAGGTTTCTGTGCTATCTGAGATGCCCAAGAGTATCCTTTCTAGCCTCTTGTTGCTGCTCTGGAAGGTGTAGAGATCACTTGGCTGCATGGATCATTTGGGGCATTGGAAATGGCACTAGCCATCTACATTTAGGAGTCTCATCCAAAAAACTTGTGCTTTAAGTCTGTCATTAGACAGTTTGCTTGATCTCATGCTTTGGATACTAATCATGTCTCCCTTTTGCAAATAGTCTTAGTTTCTGTCCCATGCCAGTTATATACTCTCCTTCTTGGATGCTCCTGCACTTCCACCTTTGCTACCTATTACAAGTGGGAAAAGATCTCGACATGATCTTGTCAGTTAGTATTTTAAACTGCCTTGCACAGGTGTCAGAGATACTTTTATCACTGGTTCCCTTTTCATTAATGCTGTTTTTATACCTCTTATGGGAAGGTAATTTGGGTTTTAATGAACAGTATCGGTTACAATTGACTTAAAATTCATCTGAAAATCAGAAAGGAAAAGTGTATCTGGGGTGAAATTGAATAGAAGAGAATGTTTCGTGCACAGTTGTGCTCTCTCTCTGGATTTACATTATTTTGTATATTGATTAGAATAAGATAAGGTTTTTGTCAAGTGAAATGTAATTACATTTATGGCTAATATTATGAATAAAGACATGAAGTATGTCCTGACAGAAGGGCGTGGTGAATTAACAGGAAGGCTGCGCTGATTACAAGTGGAGGGAGTTACTGATTTCACCACAATGGAAATCAAAGTCATAATGTGGATTGCAGCAGTCTGGATCTAATTTGCTTTAATGTAACTGCTAACTTGACTGTACAGTTAAAGAGTTACTGCAAGGGTGCTCGCTTATGACCCTGAACAATAAGAAGGAAAAAAGAAGGCTTGTGACCACTGTGCAGAGCTAACATAAGAAGTGCTGTTAGAGTGCAGGTGTGACCTAGCAGACTGCTGATCAGGGTTTAGTGTGCAGAGAGCTCACTGCGTCAGAAGTGGGATCCTTTTGGCTGTTTGCTTGAAGAATAACTCTTTGTTAACATCACATGAGCAAACAGGACAGTTATGACTTGTTTAATGATCTAACAAAGGACCTTTTTTTTTCTTCAGCTGAGACACATTTAGGAGCAGCTATTTAATTATTCAGCTGTAGCTGAGATCAGAGCGGCAAGCACATGCCATACACTGTGTTATGGTGCAGCTCCTCCCCCCATCCTCTGTATGATAGAAAGTTCAGTACATTTTGCTCAGTAGAAGAAAGATGAGCCAAACTTATCAAAAGTTTAACAGTTTTATTTCCAATCTTCCAACTGCTCTAATGATAAAATTCCAGCTTGCTGTATTTAGGATGAATGAAGAACAGCCTGAATGCTAATAAAAACAGTGAAAGCAAAACAGTCCTAGCCAGACATGTCATGTGGAGAGCTTCCAAATTTCTGTGACACTGTTTTGCTACAGTGAGTAACCACAAAATCAAAGGAATTCATGGAATGTCTCTCCAGTGAAAAGTTCTCTTCGTATCTAGCCAGAAGGATTTAAAATCCACATCAAAAGGATTCACTCTAACAAAGGAATAAGGCAGCAATGAAAAGGCAATCTTTTGGGGTTTGCCTCACTTGATGTATTTTTTTAGCAATCTATTTAATCAGCAAAATGTGTTCACTGGAAGGTCAAATCTGTGTTCTCTTAGAATTCAGAATGTGTTGTCTTTTCATGCTGAATAGGGAGAGTTTAGTAATGTGTGGCCTAATTCTTTGCTTGCACAAAAAGATTGGGATGAGATAATAGTTGTTGTAGGAGGGATAGGAAGAGTTTTGGACTCCTGCTCTCAGAAATACAAATTCAATCTGAACAGTAGGAGGCAGTGCCTTTCTGAAACTAGGGGGGGCTGAACCAGATGACTTCTTGCATGTAAACCAAAATGCTTTCTTTTCAGCACTGACCTTTGAGAAACCTTTGGAAATATCCTAATAGGATTTTGTTTGAATTCTGTTACAGGTGCCCATGATGAACTGCGATCTCCTTCTGCATGCCTAGTGGTTGGAAAAGTTGTTAAAGGAGGGACTGGTTTGTTTGACCTCAAGCAACCCCTTACATAGTGTTTCGGTTATAACTTAAGGATTCTGACTGAAATGTTCATCATAAGAGATATGTATGCTCTACACCTATGCAACAAGGGCACATACTATGTCCCCTGTCATCTTCCCTGTGTCAATAGGTTTGTTAATCTGGTTACCTGATGAGCCTGATCTATTTAATGGGAATGTCTACACTTATAGGAGCTATCCTTTGAGCCAAAGAAACATTTATTTACTGTTCATTAATGTAAAAAAATTAGATTATTAGTTTACATAGAAAATAATAAAATGAAGGAGACCATCCGGGTCTCAAACAGGCCATGCAACAGCTGTGGCAGACAGAAATCAAAGCAGAATCTGTTTATGCTGTCTAATTTTTGCGGGCAGAATCCCATCACCAGTTGCCACACGATTGTTACATGACAGGTTCCAGTATTGGAAATGGCATTCAGACTCACAGGGTGTAGCTGGGCAGCATCGGGCTGAAGCTTCAACATTGTATTGAAGCATCTGTGCTTGAGGCATATCCTCTTCTTTTGCTGTGCTTGCATGCACTGCCATGATTTATGTAAGCTGTAGAGGATGCATTTTCCTGTTCTGCTACTTCATTTATTAAGAATTACGTGTCTGTGACACAATTGTTATATTTCTTTATTAGCTGAAGACTGGAATTCAGACTTTTCTTGGTTTCTATAGGCATTTTCCAATGCCTACTCTTAACGACTTCTTTGTATGGAACAGATCTCCGCACAGTGAGAAACCTGACATTTGATAAAGATTTATTCCTTGAATGGCAACGTGAGCCGCTGTAACAGTGACTACATAAGAGACTCCTGTAAGAATTACCAAAACAGAGTTTTTAAACTATTTTTGCTTAAATATTCTGTGTCAAGGAGGATATTTAATAAAGGACATTGCAAAGAAATATTGTGAATGCCCTATTATGTGGCTGTGTTACTGAGGGAATTTTGTCATGCAGCCAACAGCCTTTGCTTTAACTCTAATGGCTGTTAAAAATCACATAGCTGAGAGCTATTCACCGCTCTTCAGAAATCAGACTTTCTTGTTTATGCATTTGATTTTAATCAGAATGCAATGCATGCAAGTAGTTAAAATTCTTCGGAGTTTGCTTACTACCATCTAGGCAAGTTTTCTAACAGATTTCAACCCCTGATCATTCTCAGTGGTACCTCTAAGCTAGTGGAAAAGTGCCAGAGCTCACTTAGCCAGCTGAGGAGCTCCTACTTCCAGTGGAGCTGCACTAAAGGGGATCAGAGCAGATAGATAGTGGGAGACATTGGCTTAGGATTGTCAAAGAGCCTCTGTGGAGTATCTTGATGGACCCCATTCTGCCTCAGCCCCTTAAAACTGTGTCAAATGTACTGCAAATTGTGCTGAAGCTTAATAAATGCATTAGCTTGGTAGGTCTCCAGTTTCACTTTGCAAATCTTCATAAAAGATTTCCTTGTGTCTTTTTCCAATCTTAGCACCTGCTATGTATTTCTCAAAAACATGTCATTCTGTGAACAACTGGCAAAGAATTAGTTGGATAGTTTTGCAAATGGTTAGATGGGAAAGAACAAACGTGGTAACAAAAAGACTTTTAACTTCAGGCTACTGTCTATGTTGCTACAGACCATTTGCTGAGAAACATCCCCAAGAGGTATTTGGAGTCCTGCAGTGAAGAACATCTATGCCACATTTTCTATCTGGAGCTGCAGCATCCTTTAGTTCTCTAAAGAGTTTGACGTAAATAACTCGTTCATCCAAGTGTTCATATCACTTCTCTGTGAAGCTTAAGACGTCACTTTGATTATGTCATGGTAATGAATAACTCCTTGGAGTTACGGAGCCATGAAATACAAGAAAATTTACTAGCCTTATGTTTTGGCATAATATAGCCACATGTAAATTCTGTGTATTTGTATGTATGTATGTGAAATTAAGCTGTGCTGCAACTGAAAAGAGATCGAGTCTGCTGAGCAACTTGATATCCATTTCTGGCAGGCTTGCTTGCTGCTTCGGTGGTGAGACGTAGTCCTGTGTCGTGGTGGGGCAGCAGTTACTCAACATGATTTAGGGGACCAAGGGGCGTGGATGCTAAATGAGCATGGCAGTAAAGTGCCTATAAATATTATATAGGCTCGTTTTGAGAAAACGTACTGAAGTGACTGCCCTTTGCTTTACACCATGTTGTGTGTCAGATTGTTGTTTCTTGCTCCCTACAGAATCAGCTGTGCAGGAAATGGTGATGAATTCAGTAGATGGTTAGTCAGTCCTGCTCCCAGGTTATCTAATAGTGATGGTTCTTGAAATAGAGCTGTTTGGAAAATGTGCTCTGGCTCTGTGTCCCGGTTTAAGCCCAGCCCAGCCTGTCAACAAAGCATCAGGAGGCAGCTGGCTCGCTCCTCCCCCCTGCTGTGGGATGGGGAGGAGAAAATACAAAGAAAAGCTGGAGGGTCAAGACAAGGACAGGGAGGGATTACTCCCCAATTATGGTCATGGGCAAAAAACACTCGACTTGGGGAAAAAACAAAATCGATTTAATTTACTACCAATCAAATCAAAACAATGACAAGGGGAAGTAAAATCAAATCTTAAAACACCTTCCCCCCAATCCTCCCTTCTTCCTGGGCACAACTCCACTCCCAGTTTTCTCCACCTCCTCACCCAGCCAGCAGCACAGGGGGACAGGGAATGGGGGTTGAGATCAGTTCATCACACGTTGTCTCTGCTGCTCCTTCCTCCTCAGGGGCAGGACTCCTCACTCTTCCCCTGCTAGTCCTCCATGAACTTCTCCAACGTGGGTTCTTCCCATGGGCTGCACTTCTTCACGAACTGCTCCAGCGTGGGTCCCTTCCCCGGGCTGCAGTCCTTCAGTCACAGACTGCTCCAGCGCGGGCTTCCCAGGGGGTCACAGCCTCCTTCGGGCATCCCCCTGCTCCGGCGTGGGGTCCTCTCTCCCCGGGCTGCAGGTGGAGATCTGCTCCCCCGTGGACCTCCCTGGGCTGCAGGGGGACAGCCTGCCTCACCAGGGTCTTCATCACGGGCTGCAGGGGAATCTCTGCTCCGGCGCCTGGAGCATCTCCTCCCATGCCTTCTTCACCGACCTCAGTACCTGCAGAGGGGTTCCTCTCACATTCCAATCCCGCTACTCACTGCAGGTTTCCCCTCTTAAATCTGTTCTCCCAGAGGCGCTACCGCCATCACTGATGGCTTGGCCTGGGCCAGCGGCAGGTCCGACTTGGAGCCGGGGAAGCTTCTAGAAGCTTGTCACAGGAGCCAGCCCTGCGGCCACTCCCCCACTACCAAAACCCTGCCACACAAACCCAAAACACTGTGGCAGAATGAGCCAACGTCCCCTTTCAGTTTTGAGTTACCTTTAAAATTTAGGCACGGGCCAGGATCTGAAACACTATTCTGAAAGACCTGAGGCTGTAGGAAAGCCCCTAACGTTACAATTGAGATCTTGCCTAATGTCTGCTTAGAAAAATGAAGCAGGTGGCTGTTCATGGACAAAAGTGATAGGGGGGAGAGTATGGTGGGACCTCAGATAAGAGTCTGCGTCTCCAAGGCTGGAGACCAGTATGTGTTTTGGCATATAAATGGGCTTAGTTTATACTGTGAAGGAGAGGCAAGCTGAGGTAGCAATTACTCTTAATCTGTAGCATGAGCAGGTTGGCTTGGGAATCATCTGAACTGCCCTTTCTGAGACGGGATGAGTTTTGGGTTGCTTAAAATTTCACATGTGTGCAGAAAACAGAGGTAGAAGAAACGTCCTTCTTCCTGTAGTCAGAAAACTTCTGTTTCTTGTCACACAACATGTACCTCTCTGCAGCTAGATCTTCTATGTTTTAAAGTTTCTTTCTTGCTCCTTGCAGCAGTTGTTGTTGCTGTACAGTACTTTTGAGGGAGTGCGAGCTCCCTACCCCCAAACACAGTCTGGAGAAGGCTGAATAATGGATGGGGCTCTCGCTGCTTTGTAATGATGTAAAACAGACAAATGGAGTCAGTTTGGGCATAAAGCACCCCAAAGAGCTGGCAGTAGATGGGATTTCTTAGAGAGGAGGAGATCATGATTGAAAGACCAAAGAACAGGCTAGAAAGCCCTTTGGGAGTGTGAGAATGGAGCTTTGCAAATACTTAAATAAGATGGGAATTCATAACCGGGACTTCCTTTTTCTTTTTTTCTCCAAGTATCTGACGGCTCTGAATCAGACTTCAGTGCAATTTTTTGCTGATAAGGAAACCTCCTGGTTCTCTCTGGTGGCAGACCGAGCTCGACTAGTAAGAAGTGGTGAAGAAGCATGTCAGATGGTACTGAGAACTCTTCATGCTATTTTTGACTGTTTTCTGCAGGATCGCTTTGAACGCACACTCTTTACAGGTCTTTCTTCAAATATCTCTGATGTTACTTTGACAATTATCAGAAATAATGCAAAACATACTGAACAGTCAAATCTTGTGGTGATTTTCTCTAGTTTGTGCATGTATGCTGCATTCCCATTTGTAGGTGATTTAGAAGTCAGAGGCAGTGCTGGCACTGGCCACGCTCTTAACGCTTCTTCCCTGGGAACCATCCCTTCTCTTAACTATCTGCTGAACTGTAGAGTGCCAAGATACCCTAAGACTGTGAAAACATGGGAGGAATGAGAGAAGAAAAGGTAGCTTCCAAAATTGCTTGCTTTCTTTGTGTTATCTCCGTTAATAATAGCAAACGATCTGTCTGGAAAGCTAAAGGTTGTAAGTTTGACTGAATGTACGCTCCAGGAACGTGCTGGCTAGCACATGCAGATAGGAAAGCTGGGAGAAGAGGTTTTTTTAAAGCTGTAATAGAAGACCTTAGAGTTATTCAGCCAGAAAGGAAAGCGGTGATCCTCGTCTTCTGGTCACGCATGCTTTGGCAAGCAGGGCATATATTGTGGGTTTTATCCTGTTTGTATAGTACAAAACGCCCACTTGCTGATCCAGATTTGTTACCTGTCAGATTGGGATAACAGATCTTTTCAGTGTGTTGGTAACAGTGAATCAGCTTGTATTTGCCCAGCAGTTGGGAAGTGAGCTATGTTCAAGCTTAATAAATCGTAATAGAAGGCTTGTTCTTGTCAGTAAAAGTTAAAAAAAATCCTAAATCAAGCAATGAGAATGGATACAAATAGGAATTAGTGCTTCTTTCATCTCAAAAGCAAAGCTAAATATTAGGAGACAGGGAGCAGAAAAGTTTGTTTTGCCAGATCCTTGGTTCCCATGTTGTTATGCTGTTGCAGGTCAGTAACCAAGCAGTGGCAACAACACAGCTTGAAGAGATCTTTAATCATTTGGAGCCTTTCTGGACAAACCACTTGAAGTTTGCCAGTAAGTACTGAAATCTGGAAGCTACGTCATCTGCTGAGGAGTTTGGCAAGTAC